TAGAACGGTCATTGTGATGTGTGGTGGCTGGTTCGTATGCTTCCAAATGATGTGTGGCATCAGATAAGACGATATGTTATTACTATCATTAACACACACGTCGTCTTAATATCAAGGAAGCACTTTATATGAGAGCAGGAGCATCAGCTTTGAAACGCAAACGCTGCTTCGGAGCAAGACATTAGAATGGTCGTAGCAAGATTTTCTAATATTTTATTGTTTAGTTGGTAATTAAATACAATTCCGCGTTGAGCAGAAATTAAATGACTCAGTGCGACATGAATATAAAAATATCGACCTCCAACACATAGAAATGTAATCTTTGTGGGACACACAATAAAAAAGCGATTTACGAATCTCTGCATATGAACCAAGTTACACACAAAAACACAAACACACACGCACATGCCTACATACTGGCAACATAGTCAAAGATACCACGGTACGTGGAAATCATGGTTGGGAATTTTGCGGTAATTTAATTATTTTAATATAATTTTTATTATTTTTTGTGTGCATCGTTATAAATCTGATTTTGCGTATGTATGTGTACTGCCGTGTATGTGTGCGATTTGCTTTTGACCGCAACGCTCATGGCAACGACCGAATTGGCCTTATTGTCCATGAAGGCAAAACCACATGGGGATCAGAATATTCACGTGGCTTGGCAAGACCCAAAAAAATCAAGGATAATTGCTGTCGTCATTACAAAACAAGAAATATGCGATGCATGTTCCAACCTGCTCTTCCGCATTCAAATCGAAGGGTTTACCAAGGTTGAATTCATTCAATAACAAAACGAAATGCAGGAAATCTTGTGGGACATCTATATATATAAATGAAAGTTGTGTTAGTTACTACGCTTATAACTTAAGAACCGCTGAACTGATTTTAATGATTCATACAAATTCGGAATTGTCTCTTATCCGAAAAGGATAATATCCAAAAAAAATCGCGTAAAAGTGTGATATATTAACATTTTCATTTTGACTTTTGAAATGTACAATAGTAATGTTTTATTTTGCATGATTTTTTTCCATTTTGACTTACTTTTTTCTAATGTACATTTGTAGTGTTTTCTATATTTTATTTTTGAATTCGAATATTAATACCAATTTATTTAATTGACTTTATATCTTGAGAACTGAAATTGATGGCGGGTTACATGGAAGTGTATTACCGAATTATGTGGTGGCGAACGGAATAGATGATACCGAAATAATTTAATGTGGTCACACCAAAGTTAAAAGATAATTACTTTTTCAAAATCGTTAAAAAAACCCGAAAAAAGTGATCTCATTGCAACAATCCTCAAAACGGGAAGATATCGAGAAAAAAATTCCAATTTAATTGAATTTTAAAATAAAAGTACATTATATTGACAAACTTTGTAAGGCTCTTTAAACAGTTGCTGTAAAAAATCTGCGAACAAGTTGAAGATTTTTTTCAATTTGTTATTCTTCCTTTGTAATTTTTTTTTTTCAATTTGTAATATCATATTGAATTCGGTGGATTTTTTGTGAACAAAATAAAGAAAAATTTTTCACTATATACAATTTTTCACCAAAAAAAATTAAATAAGTGCGAAATACGATGGTAACTGACATCCACCTTTCAATTCCAGGGCCTACATCGTGCTTCAGCTGGAAGAAGCGCTGACATTTAAACAATCAAAAATGACCGAAAAAGACTAATGGGGCTTATTTCAAAGCGTGGCCCTACTTCTTTCATGTGACAATAATCCGTCCAATGAGTGCTCAAAATGCAAAAATCAGTAAAATACCAAATATAAAGGGTGCAAAATAGTAGAGCGAATGAGACTTTTAGTAAGAAAAAGATTTCTATTCTTCCAAAAATTCTTCCTGAACATTTAAGATACCTTAAATCGCTTTTGCAGGTCATGATATCGATCATAAATAATCATCCTATGATTTAAGCCATTTTTGGAGTCTTCGCCACTTTCTTCTATTTTTGGCCCTTATTTGGCATCTTTGTTTCTAAGGGGATAGAGAACGTCTTCGCATAAAATTTTCGGAGTAGGGCCCATATTGGTCTTGACCACTAAAAAATTGTATTTATGCTACCCTGGGGTAAAGAACCATCGTACAGATAATTGCCACATATAAATTTATTCATGTAAAGTCCCCACATTGGAGCATCCCCAAGTCCACTTTCACATCTAATGTGTGGTCAGAAAATAAAAATTTGTATTCTATTGTAACCCCCAAGAGAATATTGGTTGGGAACGTAGATTTGGGAAATACATCTATATGAAATAAATTGTGAAAACATGAACAAATTACAAATATAAGAAAGTAGCACGGGACCGAATATTTGTTGAATCGTCATTGAATTAAACTATGATGAAAAATATGGACTTTATGGGGTCTCCAATTTACAATTTAAATGACAAATAATATTAGTTCCCATATTACGGTAATGGGTGTAAAATAGTAATTATATTTGACTATTCTGAAATCAGTCTGACCTCAATTATGAGGTGGATAAAACTATTTTTACTTATTTAAATAACGTGATTTTTTTCAGTTTGACATGCTATGTTGTTCTGCTATATTTTCAATTTGGCCTCTATTTGTCATCTTGGATTATAAGGGTGAAGAAAGTTTTCAATGTAGGTCGATGTTTCGCATTTTACCATATTTCAAAGGATTTGGCTAAAAATGTGTATTTGGGGGTGAAAATCTTACACAAAAATTTCAACATATCTACAAATTTTAGAATTTTCTCCATGTAATAGTACCCCTTCAAGTCCACATTTTAGCGGACAAACAGACCGACATAGTTAGGGGGACTTATGAGGACTCCAATGCACAATCTGAGGTGCTAATGGGTTTAAAAAAGTAATTAACTTTGGATATTCTTAAATCAATTAGGCCTCAATTATGAGGTGTACAAAGTACAGTAAATTCCAAATTACTGCTCATTTGACTAAAAATTAAAAACTAATCGACCAGTACGTGAACATTTATAACATTCATATCTTTGAATAATTATGCTTTGACAAATATGCATAATAGACAAAAACTACGGGCCGGCAACGCGGACCGGGCCAGCTAGTTTTAAATAAAATTGAGCCCAATTACGGTGACCATTCGCACACACACACATTTGGAAGGGAATCCTCGTCGAAACATTGATGACAGGCGGCAAAAACCTTCAAATCGGTCGATGTAGTACTTCAATTTTAATTATAGTTTCGTTAAAGTTTTCTCTACATTTTTTGTTGCGTTCCCCCTCAACTTGCTTAAGACCATAGGCCTAGGTCAACTTCAACCTGTCCATAGAATATAATTACATCAGTGGCGGGGAAAATAATAGATGTGCATGCATTTTTTCGTATATTTTAATTATATTCTTTACAACAATGAAGTGAATTAGATTAAAAGGCCTGGTTCTTACTGCTCGACTTGTAACCTGTGCAAAATCTCTCTCGAACCGATTGTATCGTGAAAATATGACGTTTTTCGTTGTTTTCCTTTCTTTCCCATTGACTTTGTTGAACGAATTGAATTGAAAACGTTGTTGCTTAAGCAGTTCGCAATATATATTACTATCTTTTCTTCAGTTGCGTAGACATAAGAACTTGTGGCATTATTTACGAAACGAATATTGCAAACTATTAACCCTTAGTTTTGCTCTCATCACAAAGTTACAAATAGAAGAGGACTTTCCAGCAAAAACCAGATTCAAACAATTGTCCCTGTTATATTCCGAAGCTAATATCAGCTTTAGCGGCCATCAAAAATTGCATGAGCTTTAATAGAAAACTGAAGTCCAACAAAGCAAACTAAGCAGTGCTACAATAATCTAGTAGAGTCTTTAAAAATATTAAGTATTTCTGTGGTTTTTCGGTCAAAAGTATTCGTTTGAACTGCCATCTCTATTATTATTTCCATCAGAACTTCCAAAAAATGAAAACATAGCTTAAAAATCAAGAATAGATTGTGGGAAACAATACCAAATGTATTGCCCATAAATCGATGAGCAAGGCAATATGGGACAGGTTCAATTATTTCTGGTTTTATGTTTCTTGGGTTACGTAATTTCAAATTCGTCCATTCTAAAACATTGATCCGGGAGAGTTTTGTCAAACTTTTCCCGAAAATCTGTCGGCCATACAGTTTGAAAATTGACTGGAGTGTTTATATAAGGATAAGTTCTGCAGTTCCTAGAAATGCATGCATGATAGTTCTGCATGAAGCAATTTGAAGATGAAAGTGTTAAATCCGATTAAAAATTATTGGAAGGGTAAAAGGATCTTTAGTAAAATCAGTTCGCAATTGCCAAATCAATTTCAAAATTTTTACATTTACATTTAAAAATCGAACTCGTTAAATGAGTGGACCTGTCCAACTGTAGATTCCTCATCGATTCTAAGTGTATTGTACGACTTTCCTGCGTTTTTTTTTCAGTCTCTCTACTTTACTTTAATTATCCACAGCTTGCACACCGCACACTTGTATGTACGTAGAGCAACGCAGATTCAACTACCAGACCTTTTGAACCCCGTCTAATGTCAGCGACTTAAAACCAGTTCAGTTGAAACAGAAAATCAACGTTGAAATGTGATCACCCCGAATTCGGTTCATGTGCTTGTTTTGCATCTTTTGCCATGACCTTGAGCCCCATTCCGATGGAAGTGTAACGCACGCTCTCTCGCCATTGGACGGACCAGTTTATGTAGATGTGGGGGAACATATCAGTATGTTGTGTGCATCGAAACAAGAAGTCGCCATGGGACCACAAGAGAGACCTCTCATTGTCTTTAAAAACCGACTGAAGACACCACACGACGATTGAGCGTCGAACAGGTTGACAAACACACAGTACCCACACACACATGCATTTGTATGCAAGCGTTCATAGATTCTTCTTTACGATACCACACATACGTAAGTTAATACACGGAAATTCTTTGGTAGCGTATGTATCTCTAAAAAAATATCAAAATAACTAGATCGTAAAAAAACTGTACTTACTCGGTCGGTTCCGGACCGTAATCGCAGCTCGTTACAGTCTGTGTGTTTGTAATCGCTTTCTCAGTATTCAGCCAAATAAGCAGAACTATTTGTGAATGTTCTGTAACACTATTTCGTTAAACGCTTCAATCGTCGTTAAACAGTTTTGCAGATTAGAGCCAAAACGTAAGCGGACCAAAATCGAGGCGAATTCGCACGCAAACTACTTCAAGTACCGATAGGTTGATATGAATCAATTGCCGACAGTTGTCAAGAACTGTTTGAGCCAACGTTTAGCTTTAGACTGATCGCAGTAGCTGCCGCCAAAACTATGATAGGTCAGCTTTTTGTAAACAATGCTAAACGACAAACAAACACACACACACACACACGGCGCTCGCTACGCTAGTACTTGGCTAGAAAGATCACAACTTCGTACTAACTTGTGAAGATCAAACAGCATTACAGGGGGTTTGTGCGAGCCAGCTAATAAACTTCGAGAGAGGCGTCATGGTTACAGCCAAATCGTGTTCGTCGTGCTCTGTGTGAATGTGTGCGACGGCATTAACTCGAACGTTGTTCTGCTTGTTGTTTCGCTGCTGTTATACTTAGTCTAGTCAGTCGTTCAACGCTCATCTCATTCGATCGCAAAAATTCCACTACGTCTTAGAAGTCATTCCCCTATCCACTAGAGAGGCAATAACTCACCGATCGAAGCTTTTGTGAACTAAATAATCTGTTTCTTGTCTTCTGCTCGTTGTTCGGTGTATCGCCATTATTGAAAATTCAAGGTAGATACGATTCAGTCTTATTTCTGATTGTATTTTTCAAATCAGTTGATTTGTTTTTTTAAAACGCATGACGGAAAATCGAAGGGTACTCAGGGCAGATTTCCTTGATAAGACCTAAGTCAAAACAGCATGGTTTTATCTAAGGTAATTTAGGCATATACCTAAATATTTAATATTTGACCGGCCTTCCTATTGTACCCATTTCCAGGCACGAAATCATCTGTATAATACTTCCTTCGGCGTACTCACTGACATCCCCATTGTGGTTCGCTGAACGCCCGACCTTCGAAATGGCAAAATTTCTAGATGTCAGTCCAAAACGATAAAAATACAATAGACTAATGAATGAATAGACAACGAAAAGTTAGTTTTGTCTTGCAGGTGGCTCTCAGCACGCTGATTTATGCAGCCGACCTACTCGTCTTCAAGAATTTCACTTGATTATTACTGTGTTTTCCGATGTCATCATGTCATTTGTTATTATTGAACAATATTCAACTGATAAATATCACACCGTTGTTGTTATTTTTAACATTTTAGAATAGAGTGTCTTCAATATTTTCACTCATGCCCCTGAAACGATAAAGACGACATCTGGTGATCCGAAGATATACGGAGAGAGCATTTCTTTGTCAATATTTTCATTAGTCCCTGTAAGTACTGCCTAGTTGTTAGAGAGAGAAGGGGAGTAAAGACAAATATTTGTTGGGTTTGTTGAGTTTTATCATTGATTTGATTTTATTATTTAATTTTTCGTATTATATTATTTTTTAGCTGCTCTGTTTGGGTTCGTATGTTTTATACCCCCCACCATATTTTGTAGGATATATATTCTTGATCAGCGTAAAATTCGATGTCCGAAGGAAAAGAGGTCTGTAGAACTTTTGTATTAAATATGAGCTCTATACGTCCACATTTTGATATAGCCCCCAAGTAACTGTACGGAGAGATTTGGGTGTTTTAGTCAAAAATTTAACCCGAATTTATTGTAAATTGGCGGCACGTGTTCCCATTCTGTAAGAAACATCCTTGCGTAGAACTGTCATTCGTACACCTTTTTATACCCTCAGCTATGGAGGGTACATATCATTTGATACCGCCAAAACGCGCCTCATCGAAATAACGTTTCTAAACCCTAGCTCCTTTCGGACCAAATCCGTTTCAGGATGTTTGGAGTCGATCTGTTCGCAATATTTATATCATATTTATTTGGGTCCGATACGAAATGGACAATATTGGCCCATTCCTACGGAACCTACTCCATACTGCCATTGGGATAATCAAAACAGAAGTCATAATATATGTAACTAGTCGAACATTGGCTAAGGGTATTCATCTGTCGGCAAAACCGATTGATATTTTTTAAACTGGTTAGTTATAATTCTAATAGTTTTTGATTTAATTCGAAACATTTCATTTGTACTGCAACTACGAATTACCTTCATTCGTAATTCGAATTAGTGTAGCTTTAATTCAACAGATTCCAATTGTAATTCGAATTATTCCCGTTGTAATTCAAATTCGAATTACATCTGAAAACCATTTAACGGTGCAGAAAATTGCATATGCAGGTCCAGGTTTTCGTATAGCCCCCATAAAAGCGTATCTCCCTATATTCGGTAATCGTATGATTCTAGCAGTATTTTTCAACGGACTTCTTTTTACAAATTCCTTGCAAATGGTGGAGGGTATTCATAGTTCGGCCAGGCCGAACTTACTGCTCCTTTACTTGTTTTAATTTAAGCTCTTGATTTGTGTAGTAGATAGGTACTTCAAGAAACAGTGTTTGGATTTGCTGCTGGCAAAGTTGCGATGGCACCAAAAATATGCTGTCGCTGTAAGTCGCAGTCGTCAGAATTGAACATGAACAATGGTGCTGTGCTGTACTGCAATCTATTTAACTTTAGATAACTTTTCCTGTGCTGTGGTCATGATATATAGTCACAGCAAAGCAGGTAGCTATAGTCATCGAATACAAATCGAATTGTCTGTTCTGTGAATTATAATATAAACTATTGTGTTATATAAAATATGAACACGAACTATTTGAAGTGCAAAGTTAAAATGAATTTCATAAATGGCTCATATTTTCAATGTTTCTTCTTCGGTTTTGAGTACAGAATAACCAAAGGCAGCACAGCAATAGTTTGCATTTTTCGATTTTTGATTTTCAAGACAGGTACTATCAGCAGTCGAAGTCGTGTGATGCTAAAATGCAACAGTTTTAATATTTTTTTCTTTTTCGGAAGAGAATTTACAGCTTTCGAATCGAACATCGTAGCAATAACAATTGACTATTTTTCAGTAATGACAGTTGAATATGTATAAATACCCATGGAATAATGTTAATTTAATACAAATATATATGTTTCCAAAAAGATGTATTAAAATCTGGTATCAATAAAGTGTAAACATTCACTTAAAACAAAAACAAAAAAAAAACAAATATTCCTGCCAGCGTTAACCTTCAACTATCATTGAACACCCCACTGCCCGACAAGAATTACGCATTTACAACCAGAGAAATAATTCCTCCGACAAATTGGCAGAACTCGGACCTACGTCAGTCAGACTTTGAGGGTATGGGTATGGGTATGTTGTAACAATTCGTTGGAATACGGTAAATAAGTAGTTCCTCACTTAGCTCCGTGCACAAGCCGCATATCGCGGAATATGGCCACGCACACAATGGCCAATAAAATTGCATCGGAATGAGTAATCCTAACCGGTTATAGTGCTTTGAACGTTGAAATATATGTACATGAATGCAATTCCGTATGTTCGTAATATGAATGGCTGTATATTACTTTTACGTTAATAGTCCGAAATATAAACAAGCTTTTATTCCCATTGTTAATGGAGGTAAAATTGGCTATCACTGATAAAAAAATTGTAACAAAGTCAAAGGCCATAATTTTTACATTTTTCTTTTTAAGATTTATTGAATGAAAGCAAAAAATGTCGGAAATTGCATCAAATTTTAGAATAAGTTTAGATTTGTTCGAATTGATCACCTTTGGCACGGATTATGGCCTTTAAACAACCAATGAAACCGTCACACACTGCCCGAATGTTGCTCGGCGATATTTTGGTCCATTCCCGGCGAAGGGCTTGCTTGAGGTGATCAACACTTTGGTATCTTTTAGTGCCAACCTTGCTTTCCAAAATACTCCAGACACAATATTCCAAAGGATTGGTATCCGGGGATTTTGGTGGCCATTGTGCGCTGGAAATGAAGCGAGTTCAGAGCCCTAAAAGTTTGCGTACCCAAGGCTTTAATACACCCTCCATAATATGTTCGCGCTAATATTCGGCATTTATTCTGATGCCACGGAGAGCGACCAATGGCTGTTATGGCGACCCACACCATCACCATGACCGGCACTTGAGTTCTGGTGGCTAACCGAAGGTACACATTTTCAGCTGACCTCTTTGGCAAGTAAACACGATAATTTTGTTTGTTTAGAAACTGCTAGACAACGAATATTTTCGCATCGGAGGAAACCAAATTCGGCAGTTCACCACTTTCGGCCAAGCGAAGAATCTCTTTAGCTCTTTTGAATCTATTTTCTTTCTTGTACTTTTTGGAATTTCTCGGGCTTTACCCCGAGCTCATTTTTCAATATTTGCCAAATGGGATATTGCGAAATGTTTAGCTCACGAGCCATTTTTCGACCATTGTGACGCGGGTTTCGATCAAGTCGCTTCTTTTCTTTTTGAATAATTATAACTCTTACAAAATGTGATGTAAGGGTCCGATTGTCTTCAAATTACACACATCACAATATTTTTATTTACCCAAGGTCTGGTGTGAAGATGGAATGTATCGGTCCACTCACTCGGGTACCTCCCGCTCAAAGGGTCAGAATTTTGAAGCTTATAAAACGCGAAAATAACATCCGATTCCATTTAAACTTGGCACAGCTCAATATTTCAATCAACACAAGATCCGTTGTAAAGATGATAGAGGTCGGACCATTTGTTATAGTACCTCCCTTACAAAGGGGTTCAAAATTTTGAAATACAAAACACTCAAAGAAAGCGAAATAAGCATCCAACTCCCTTTGAACTTCACACATACAGACATTTTTGCTTACACAAGATCTGCGAACTCCTTCTGGTACCTCCGAATATAAAATAATAGTAATAATGGTCTCACAATGAGCACTCATCAGCATTGTCCCAGTATTCAAATATCACAATTCAAATGGCTTATGACGACGGTGCTGATTCGGCGATCGCACGTCAATGTGAAAATGTTGATGGCGGTTATTGCGATAATAAATATAACAACTCAATGTCGTAACTCATCGGCGCGCTGCGGCCTGTAAAAGGATAGTGCGGCACAGCCGAACACGTACACAATAATGTTTGTAATAAACATTGTTTTGCTCTTACACTCTCACACACACACACACAAACCCTGAGATACTTCGTAATTCCCAATGTTTCACGTACTCACATCATATCCGAATATAAAATAACAATGATCATAATTCTGAAATTGCGTGCTACAACATAATGACTAATAATTAATTATGTTTATAAACTTTCAAAAGTCCTCTGTCGAAACGGTGCCTGTGTGCGAGGTGCACACTGTCTGCAGGAGAAAGTCCCTGCAAACTC